TAAGGGTGGCGCCCAATGCGCGACAGTCTAATAGGGGACAGGGGTTTGGTAGAGTAAAAACAACGACTACCGAAGCGCCGGCACCTCAGCCCCCAAACGGTCGATACGTGGGGTATAAGCCGTTGATTACGTTAGAGGACGAGTCGGCGTCGACAGAGAGGGGGCCGTCAGCTCGGAGTCTGGACTTCACGGGCGGGTCCAACCAAATACTGTCCGATAGTTTGCCACACATTGAGACCAATATCCGTAATATCAATGACTTAAAGCGCCGGAACTACTCGGACCTGCAGCCCATCCTAACCTACAAAGAGAGCTACGACTCCATACCCCTGACCGCCCGCAACGAGATATACAGCCCACACACGACACCCAAACCCTACTACACCACTGGCGCGCCGAAAGCCCAGAGGAACTCCTATCGGCTGTACAATACGTTTCCAAAACCGGCGCCGACCACAACCACTACTACAACGACGACTACGACTACTACCACAACACCCCCGCCCACTACACTCCCCAGTGGCCCCTATTATGACTACTATTACGAGGATATTACTGATAGCAAAAACAGTGTAACCCTTCCGCCGACAACTAGAAGGGTGTTCCCCACCACCACACAGGGTAGGGTAGGCGGTGGACTTAGGTTTAGGATAACCCCCACAACCCCTAAACCTCCGGCCATTGAGTACGAGTACGAGTACGAGGACTACAACGGCGCCAACTATACCAACACAATACCTACCACTCCGTATAAGAGCTACCAGACCACCACCACTGCCCGACCACCCATCACAAGGTATGCCTAAAAAATAAGTGAATTATTTGTTTGAGTAATTTTTTTGGGTGTATTTCCCGCCCGTTTAGGCCCTCCCTATACAGCACCGGTCGAAAGCCGAGACCCACGAACCGGCGGCTCATCATCAAAGACAATGAGAAGGCGCCACCAAAGCCCGCCTCTCGTCCGAAGCCCATACACCCGACGCCCACACCCCTGTCCACCGCCGAGAAGTGCGACGCCAAGAAGTGTAAGCTCCCGGACTGCCGGTGCGGCGGCTCCGACATCCCGGCGAAGTTGTCGGCCAAACAGATCCCGCAGATTGTGTTGATTACCTTCGATGACGCCGTCAATGATCTCAATTGGGAGATATACGAAGACATCTTCGAGAACCGGTTCAACCCGAACGGCTGTCCCATTAGGGGTACGTTTTACGTGTCGCACGAGTGGACAGACTACGGACAGGTGCAGACACTGCACGCCCGGGGCCACGAGATTGCCTCACACGGAATCACGTAAGGATCGCATGGCTTACAGAATATTCTGTGAGTTTTGTACTGAAATTCTGTGCGCTTTTTAGGCATAGTTTCGGTGAGAAGTTTTCGCCCAAGGAGTGGATCAAAGAGGTGAACGGCCAGCGAGAGATTATCCACATGTATGGTGGGGTACCCATGGAGGACATCCGCGGTATGAGAGCGCCTTTCCTCCAAACGGGAGGGAACCGGATGTTTGAGATGCTTTACGAGACAAACTTCACATACGACTCATCCCTACCTGTGTTTGAAAACTCGCCGCCCTTTTTCCCCTACACCCTGGACTACCAGCTCAACCACGAGTGTATGATACCTCCCTGTCCCACGAAGTCGTTCCCCGGGCTCTGGGAGGTGGGTATGATTATGTGGCAGGACCTGCGTGGGGGCCGGTGCTCGATGGGCGTTCACCTCTTTGATCCACTCCTTGGGCGAAAACTTCTCACCGAAACTATGCCTAAA